GAAAAGCAATGGTGCTAAAACAGTTCCCTGAGGCACACCACTCTTGACAGCTTTCCAGTCAGCTTGATTTTTTTTATTTGTTCTGCCATTGTCAGAACTATTATTAAAGGGACCCTCCCACCTTCAAAAAAGTTAATGAATTGGCATGAAAGTGATGTCGCTCGGTTCAGAAAGAGCAAAAACGAATATCTATCAAATTTCATCGAAAAATTTTCACCGGTTTTCAAGATATTAGATTTACTTTTGTTTACATTTCGGGATATCCGCTGTTCCTAGCGACATTATTTGAAAGTGCGGCAGTTGTTGCGCGCAAAGCAGCATGCCATATACAACCGCGTGAGCCACCAAACGTTTTAGTAAAAGATTTAAAATCGTCAGATCTCCGCTGACGTCACAAATTCTAAGGGGGCATTCCAATGCATTAGCCCCTTAGAATCCGAAAGCTGCAAGTTTGAAATTCCTTATCTCCGAATTTAAGCATTTTTCGATGTTGTGAGTGCCCAAACCGGTATTTGTAGGCCATGGCCACCAATTTGGCTATCTCAACTCAAAACTAATGTTACAGTGGGATGGTCACTTTAACCCGCGGGTGCCTGGGGTATTTTCCATAACGCGAGTGACTGGGGGGGGGCTACAGAGCCCCCCCCCCCCCCCTCCTATCTCCGAAACTAATGGGCCGATCGTCAAAATTTAAACGGCGTCTGATAGCCCTGGAAAAGCTGCCGAGCATAGCTTAATTTCATCGACCTCGAGGTCATCGATGACGTCACAGGTAAGGTCAAAGTAAAAATCATAAGCATTTTGGCTTGTTCACAATATAGGCTCTGGCCGCCAGCTCACAAGTCCGATCAGGCTCATTTGTGGCTTACGCACTCCTTGATATATGCCTTAGATACAATGGGGGTACCAAACTTGTACTTCGAGTTTTTCAAGTTAAGGCCACGTCATCTTAGATTACGGAAATTTTATATCATGTACCTATCGGTCACGTGACACATGTTTTATGGTATATTTTAGCTATCCATTTCGAAAGCATTGTCTCCTGTGTCATTTAAGACCATTTTCAGCTTAATATAGCTGAGGTCAGGTCAAAAAGGTCAAATTTGAAGAAGTAATTCTCATAAATTCCAAAATTTTGAAAATCTTGGATCACAGTTCGATAGCCAGCTAGATTTATAGTCTTTTCATGCAAAGAAATTGTAACTAGTGTAAAAACTGAATATTGAGAGCAAATGCCGTAGTTCAATGTTTTCGTCAAAATCGGCCGACATAAGGTTACTCTGACGTCATTTCCGGCCGACCTCTGGTAGAGCACGAAATTGTAAGTTTGACACAAGGTGTTACGTTAATGCAGCTAAAGGCACTGCCAGCTTCTGATGATACGTCTAGTGGTAAAGTAGATAGCAGAAAAACGGGAGGGGTGCTCTTTAGAGCACCCCTCCCGCCCCAGTCATGCGCGGGTTAAGTCGAGTAATGTCGAATCACGCTTATCAAGCGAAGTCTTACAACGCACACAGCCGCTATTTGAGTTCGGAAGTGGCCAAAATGCGATAAATCGTTAAAGGGACTATCCCACCTTTAACATGGGGTTTGAGTTGAGATAGCCAAGTTTGCGGCGAGGTTCAGAAACCACTATCTATCTAGGTTGCAACCCCCGCGGCCTCTTGGTGTTGAAGAAATTCGTTCCCTTCATTTGAAAATGGGCCTTGTACAAGGCCCTATCTTCGACATGGAGCGACCGTTAGTGTGACGTCACCTCGTTTAGTCATTCTGATTTAAATGGGTTTGTTCGTTGAAAAATCGCTTAAAACTTGGTCTGAACTTTGTTGTGGTGCCTACAGAGTAAAAAGAATCAGCTTTATGACAGTAATATGGCCTGGGGAAGGAGGTAATGTTGGGCTGTGACGTCACATATTTGAAAGTTTGTGTTTGGAATATGGGAAGCCTAAGATGTTTAATGAAAAATAAATGCCAGAACCGTGTTCCTGGTCATCCAATCTATAAAGTCGGGCACAATTTAACTGGTTTTAACAACATTTTAGAAGGTGGGATAGTCCCTTTAACCAGTTGACATTTTGCCAAGGAATTTTTATTATATGTGAAGTAAACCTTAAGGTCACGTATGGAAACGTATGAGCATCCTGCTGATCCAGCATTGCCGTAAAATATTTTTGCGTGTAATCCGCGGATGACGGGGGGGGGGGGGTATATCTATCTCATAACGTGGGTGACTCGGGAGGGGATTCTGCATAGCTTCCCTGCTGTCTTCGAAACTACTCGTTCAATACTAAAAATTCAAACGGTTTCTGATAGGAATAGCTGACAAACGAAACCTAACTTTGTCACAAAAGGTCATGGAAAGGTCATGGGTCACAAAAGGTCATGGAAGGAAATGTATACATTTTTAAGGTCATGCGACGCATCTTTAATGGTCCATTTCGGCAAAGCATCTAAAAATGATGTCATCTGGGTCGTCCGATTCGAAACTATTTCCATTCGACAAATGAAGGTCAGGTCACGGCAAGGTCAAAAAGGTCAAATTTTGAAGTTGAACATTCTCAACAAAAAAGATGTGCGTCGGATGCAATTTGAGGTCTGGAACACGATGATGCTATTCGTTTTGGTTTTCGATGTCAAGAACGTACTGAAATTGCCTTTGCAATATCGAAAATTGTGATTAACCGACTACGGTAAAATGCAAAAGCCGATAACATTGCCATTTCTGAAGATATCTGACTGAAACTTTCCAAAAGCAATGCAAATGTTATTACAAAAGCCAATAAGGTTCATTCTGGTCGATGGCTGCTCCCCAAAGCTCTGAATGTTAGCAACCATATCGGACATTCTTACGATCATGTTCTGTTGGCTGGATGTCTTTTTGCTTTATTGAATTTGATCAGACTACATTCAGTTAAGACGACGTACATTTATTGGTCACCAGAAAGTATACCCAGAAGTCAATCGACAATCGACAACCAACAAATGCAATCGACACGAGCGTCGAGCACCCCTCCGCACAAGCAACTGCCGGGGGCGATTAGACGGACCGCGCTCCTCTCTCGCAGCTGATTGGTCAGCTGCCGAACCGCACGGACGTCAGCTGCACGGCCGCCGCCCGGCCGCGTATTCGCCAATTGTATTACACGAATCGGCCCATCAACTAGCGACATCTCTAGTGCGACGTCATAGCCATCCGCCGCGACAATGCATGCATTGAGGCTAGATTTGAGTTGAGACTTTTTTTGCAATTGTATATGGCTGTGAGGAGTGTTTGTGTCGTCGTAGCCGAGTGGTTAGAGTCTCGGTGTGGTGGACGAAAGGTCGGTGGATCGATTCTTGCTTTAGCGGTTCTTTTCTCTGAAAAAGAAGTCGGTCGTAGACGCGCATTTTTAGCCCCTACGTTCGCACGCCAATATCGTACGCCCAATAAATCTCTGACAAGTATTCATCTGATTAAGGAATAAGTTGCAAAAGAACTGCAGTTGCAGTCTATACCTGAACTACCAATTTTGTTACGGCACTGTCGATATTCGTCAAAGTCGGAAGAGCTATTATGAAACACACTCGAATGACAACGGATTCCTGTATTATTTCATCGATCAGATAAGACATGTATAGAGATAAATTGATGACAGCCCGCCGTGAGCATGCAACTTAACAACCAGTCCCAAGTTATCTTCATAAACGTCTAATATAAATCTTTTTGACTTTAAAGATTCCAAGTAAGGGGACTTAGGTATCCCCCTGGCGGCTGAAATGTAAAAGTTATAGTTAGGGCATAGCTCCTATAGATGACGCTCTGACCAGGGTATATAGAACAACGCTCTGACGGCTGGAAACTGATAATCTATTCTCGTCCCGTGATTACGCTAACAGCTATGCCGAAATTTTTTGTGCATGGTGATTCTTACACGAAAAGCTATCTAATAGCCTGCTTACCAGCGTGCGATTTTTACTTTTCATCTTAGTTTTCGCTACTTTTAGGTAGGTACTTTACCTTGCCAAGTGCCCACCTACTTTCAAAACGTCAGCGCCGCCCCTGTCAATGCTGCGTGCTATCACCCATTGGCAGCGAGAAATATTGATCAATGAATGGCCAATGCCATCGCCCAGCACCATTTGTCTTTCCATTGGCTACGTTCGCATAGTATGCACTATGCATTAGTGATGTCAATCACAGAAAATCAGAACACCGCTACCAAACCAAATACAAACAAAGACCATTGGAAAATACCGAAACCGAACCAATCGGTTGGACTGCAAATATCTATCTTATGCAACATATTCATTAGAAGAATGCCTACGTCTGATTTCTTAGGTGCACACCGTTGCAAATGCATAAAAAACGCACAATGACAGATGACAGATGACAGATGACACGAAAATCGAAGTCGCCGAGTGGATTGGAACCACCTACCTCTGAGTCACCAGCCCGATACTCTAACCACTTCGCCACGGCGACAACATATTCCTGCCAGCTTAAATGTCATTAAGATAAAACCTAGCTTCAATAGACGCCACCAAGGGCGAGGACCGAAAGTATGACGCCGCGCTGACGTCACTCAGGAGGCACGCTATTGGTCGGCCGATCCGTGTAATACAATTGGCGAATCGACCTGACCGGGCCAAAGAATGCCAAAGACTCCGTCGGATGCACCATCAAGGTGGCAGGGAAGACGGTGTCGGCGAGCGATACACTGATCCTCCTCGGGATCGAACTCGACCGTCGTCTTCAATTTGGCGCACACTGCAAGAAAGTCAGGAAGAAGGTCCGCCCCCGCGTCGCCCACCTGAGGCGGTTGTCGGGTCGAAGCTGGGGACTAGACGAAGACATTCTCAGAACGATAGCCAGTGGGTACGTGAGAGGAGCCATGGAACACGCTGCCGCGGCCTGGCTACCTGCGGCGGCCCCCTCTCACGCAGAACTCCTGGAACGCGAACTGCGAGCGGCGGCCCGGATCGTGACGGGGTGCCCGAGATCTACACCGAGCCACGCACTGATGGCGGAGGCGAGGCTCGCCCCGATGACGGAGAGGAAGCAGACGCTCGCAGCTCGGCTACTGACGAGAGCGCTGGCGCTCCCTCCGAACGACCCCCTGCGAGCGACAGCTGAGGCCGCGGCCCCGGCGCGCCTGTCCTCGGTCAGAGGATGGAGGTCACTGGGCCGCCAAGCCTGGGCCGATGCAGGGATCTCGGCACCGATCGAGCCGATTCTCCCACCGAGAGTACCACCATGGGAGCAGCAGGGAGCGCGCATCTCCTTCACACTGGACGTCGGCCCGCTGAGGACAGGTGCGACGGCGGAGGAGAGGGAGAGGACTGCCGCCCAGCACCTAGCATCCCTACCACAGTGCGCGGTGTGGATGTGGTCGGACGGGTCCGCGGAGGGCGGCACAAGGAACGGAGGGGCTGGAGCAGTCATCATGTGGCCGGATGAGGAGGTACTGGAGCTAAGAGCTCCGGCGGGTGATTTCTGCTCCAGTTACCGTGCAGAAATGCTCGCCTTAGTTACGGGCCTGGAGACCCTAACATCACGCACCAAAGATAGCGACCTACCACTGATCATCTGCTCCGACAGCATGTCGGCACTGGCGACCCTGCGGAATGGCCCCGCCGCCCAGACGTCACCGCTGGGGACGGCGGCCTGGAGAGCTCTACTGCAGCTAGCCAAAGATGGTCGAGAAATCAGGGCCCAGTGGGTCCCTTCTCACTGTGGCATACACGGCAATGAAGAGGCGGACAGAGTGGCCCGGGAAGCAGCCCAGCTCCCTCAAGAAAGGACGCCCATCGACACGAGGACGATCACCAGTACCGTGGCGAGAATGGCTAGGGACAATACAATCCAGTCCTGGCCCCCCGGCTGGTTCAAGTCTCTGATGGGCGACCGCCGGCCCCCGTCCACGGCCGGCCTGGAACGGGAGAGCGCGGTAGAAGTCCACCAGATCCGCGCGGGCCACTGGGCAGGCTCAAGAGCCTACCTACACCGGATCGGTCGCTCCCCTACCAGAGACTGTGAGGGATGCAACGACGACCGGTGCGATGGAGCGCGCTGCCCCATCTGCGGCGAGGAGGCGGACCGGCCGGCCCACATTCTCCTTCGCTGTCCCGCTCTGATGAGGACCCGCCTACAACTCACCGGCATTATCCATCCGGACTTGGAGGAGGTCCGGGAGACCAGAGTGGTGGCGGCCCTGGCGGCCGCCGCCCGCAACTTCCAGAGCCGCCTGGCTACGCCCCGATGAGGGGCGGAGGGAGTCACATCACATCACATCACCTGACCGGGGTCGGCCGGGCGGCGACCTAGCGTCACTAGAACTGCAATAACTTTTGCCGGCAGGGTGATGCCAACCTAATTTTTTCAGCAAAGAATCACAATTGTACGGTTTATGTTATGGACGTTGTATCGATGTGAAGCACGCTGTGCGTTTTTTTGGTAGGCCTATGTAAATATTGAAATCCTCAAGCCCTTCTGCTCTGTGCAAGTGTGCAACAATTAGCGTACAATAACTGTGTGGGAGGTTTTTTAGATGCACTTTTGTTACCAATGGATTCCGCACATTTTCCCTTTTCAGCTGATATCTTACTTACGCATTTTCAAGCAAAGAATATGGCAGGAGACTCGTCAACATTTACATGAAAATCGCAGCACATGTTCGGTCTCACGGAGCAAAACAAAACGGTGTACTTTGGGAGCCCACCAATCTGTGCCAGAATGAGTAATATTTTTTTTCTGGATGATATTCTATACAGTCTGATCAATTTACGACCAGAAAATGTGAGAAAAGCACGCTTTAAAATTTGTCGAAAATTAGGGTATTGGCCACTTCTGAACCCGGATAGCGACTGTGTGCAACGGTTCGATTCAAGATCAGTATGAGTCCCTATTGGTTTGAGGTGAATTTGCGGTAAATGAGCTGCTCATCTTAATTAACCCGCGCATGACTGGGGTATTTTCCATAAGGCGGTTGACTACGGGGATTCCAAAGAGCACTCCCCCCCCCCCCTCATGCCTCCAAAACTACCGGGCAGATTGTCAAAATTCAAACGGCTCTGTTGACCCTAGACAAACTGCCGAACGAAACCTAGTTTCATCGAACTCGAGGTCACCAATGACGTCACAGGTCAGGTCAAAGTAAGAATTATCAACATTTTGGCTTGTTCACAAATTGGGCTCTGCGCACCGGCTTACAAGTCTGATCAGGCTCATTTTTGGTTCACACCCTCATTGGTATATGCTTATGGTACATACCTGGGGCTAAACTAGCTTGTACTTCGAATTTTTCAGAATTTTTCAGGCTAGGTCATTCTGGGCAACGGAAATGTTATATCATTTTCAGTCACGTGACACACGTTTTATAGGCTGCCCCACACTGGACCTCGCATGCGGGTTGCGAGTTTGCGGGTTTTGAGTTTGCGAGCATAATACTAATTCATAGAGTGATTAGACTGTTCCCTTATGGTAACTTCATGAATGCAGTGAAGGCGGTACACCTTCAGAAAATTACATATAGTCACAATACCAGCGCAACGAACCAAAATTCGACTCCAACGAAAAACCCGCAAACCTCGCAGAACTCACAGACCTCGCAGCGAGGAAAATCGAAAGTTGACTCAAAATCAACTTTTGGAATGCGATGCAAGTTGGCTCGCATGCTAAAAACATGCAGACTCGCTTGTTGCATGGTGGTATGGGTTACTCAACATAGAGTGTATTCTATAATTTGAGAGAAACCCGAAAAACCGAAAACTCGCAACCCGCATGCGAGGTCCAGTGTGGGGCGGCCTTATGGTCTATTTCAGCTATAGGTTTCGAAAACAGTCTCGTTCGTGTCATTTGAGGCCATTGCAGCTGAAGAGAGTTGAGGTCAGGTCACTTTCAAGTAAAAAAAGGTCAAATTTTGAAGTTGAATGTTTTTATTGTGGTCAGCCAATAGCAAAGCGTGCCAGTTTAATGAAATTTCAACAGTTACCGAAAGCGTCAGTATCACTAGTGTCCGCTAGCAGCGTTCCGTGCTACATGGGCCTGAACTGCGATTGAAGAAAAGCATTGTGTGGGCCCCAGTGCCTGAGACATCTAGACCTGACATCAAGTGACTTGTTTGTTCCGGAAGATAAATTTTTTTCGGCATGGCGGTGATTTGATGACAGAAATGACGTCGTTCACGAGGTGAAGCAGTGATTTGCGGGGAGTTGATTGTGTTCTACAACGGTGAACTGCGGCAGCTTTAAAACTATAGGAAAATGTCTGTTTATAATAGTATTGCATGGTAACTTCTGGAGATGTAAGTTGTAACTATGTGAAACAAATGTCTGAGGCCTGTTTCACTAAAAACTTGCGATTACAAGTGTTTGAACTTTACAATTCATAAGTATTTTTGCAAAAATCGGATTTCACTAAACCTCATCACCAGCGGCACCTCCGATAAAAAGAGTTTGCATAAAACTTGTAAACAGTAAAAATGTTTTTAATCAAGAACTACAACATGTTACAGATATTGCTTCTTTTTATCAAATTGTGTCTAGTATTCATGTAAAAAAATGCATGAATAAAATATAAATAATGATGCTGTTTCTAAATGGTAATGATAGTTCACAATATTTTATTATTGAAAGAAAATAACAAGTAAAACATTTGACAGCAGAAGACTGTTGAATGCAATTATGGCGCGCGAATGACAAAACATGACGATATTTATTTATTGCTCGTAGCTGGTTCGTAGGGATTGTGCTAAGTAAAAAAGAGCATACAATGACTCAGCATATCATATTTGTTTTAAATAATTGATTGCTTTGCATCATTGCACAAAAAGTAATAAAATTCCGAACGTAAGAGCCACTGGAATTTCGGTTTTGTAAGTACAACGTTTTCTTTCAAGTTTTTGGTCTTCGTGAAACAGAAAGTTTGCGATTTCGATGTTTCTTACAAACTTTTTCTTGTAAAAAAGTTGGTAAATTTTAAACTCAAAATTCATGCTCGGAGGTTTCGTGAAATCCAAATTTCAAATGTTGGTAAATATTTCTTTTAAACTCAAGTTTTTTCTTTGTAATTACACACTTTATTTGTTAGTGAAACAGGCCTCAGTAGGTATTTCTTATTCCTTCGTTTTCGCATTGGCTATTTTTATGGTATTTTGCTCAAGAACGAACGTGTGATTTTCAGCTTGATCGGTTACTAGTTGTAATTCCTGATCAGTGATCACTCAGACTCATTCAGTTACTTCAGCAGTTTATTGTCTCGATGCTTCATGAAAGCGCAACAATGCACATTACTCATACAAAATATGGCGAAATATGTCAGTGACAGTAGCAAAAACGCCAAAACACTCAACAACATCACCATTTAAAGCTCAAACTGCAAACCTCCTGGTCGCAGTTCCCTGAAACGGTACCACGGCCTTGATAAAACAGGACCGGACCTACGCACCTCGCGGAGAGCGTTCATCCCTGATGAAGGACGGACGCCCCACCCCGACCACCTGACCGCCGCTGACCGCTCAGATTTTCAGCAGCCGCGCCAGGTGTACGGCCACCTTCTCTCGGACCGCCTTGTCCAGCGCGTCCCTCGCCTTGCCCTCGATCTTGCCCTTGTTCTTGCCCCACCACTTGTTGGCCAGCTTGGTGGTGATCTTGCTGGCCGGATCTCCGAAGAGCCGGTTGAAGAAGCCGATGGCGCCGCGCAGGTTGGCCTTGACCCGGATGCTGGCCAGGTTGAGGGAGACCCTGGTGCCGCTGGCGGTGACCATGATCCGGCCGTCGGCGCCCACGTGCACGTTGAGGGTGGTGGTGAGAGAGCCGACCGTGCGGCCGACGCGCACCTCGGGCCGGCCGCGCACGGAGACGCACACCTTCTTGAAGATGACCTTCTTGCACTTGCGGATCTTGGCGTCGAGCTTGCCGTTGATGTGCGGCCAGCTGATGGTGGCCCTGACGGCGATCTGCTGATCGGAGGGGAACGACACCGACAGGCCGTCGACGCTGTAGCCGGAGATGCCGTGGACTCGGATGTTGGACAGCTCGACGTCGCCGTCCCGGTTGTTGGGCAGACGGAGAGGGTCGGCCTCCTGGGCCACCTTGGGCCGCGCCTCGACCAGCAGCTGTTTGATGCAGTCGCTCAGGCCGGCTGGGTCACCGAGGTCACAGTTGGCCGTGTCCTGGGCGTCACCGGCGGCCAGCAGGGCGGCCAGGCCGAGCAGCAGCAGCGGGGCGGCTCTCATGGTGCTGAGAGGTGCCGTCAGTCGGGTCTGTGGACGGGTGTGTGCGGAGCGGGGCTCGCTCAGTGGACTGACGGGCTGCCCGCGGCCGGCCGATATATAGCCCGCCGGACGGATGATTCAGATGAACAGACTGGCCAGAGCGGCACCTCCCGGGCCGGCCCTGCAGCGGGACAGCACGCACCAGCCCTGTTTTGGGATTTCCGTGTCCCGTTGCGCCGCGCGGGAGGAAGGGAAGGGGGCATTGGTCTTCACTCTTCATGGTTTCCAGGAGGCCTCAAGGCTGATCGATGCGTTCTCACGCGTTTCGGGTCGAAACAATAAGTTGCACGCTATTTCGTTTTTACTCGACATTTGTTCTGCCATTGTCAGAACTATTATTAACCCGCGCGTGCCTGGATATTTTCCATAACGCGAGTGACTGGGGGGGGGGGGGCTACAGACTACAGAGCCCCACTCCCATATCCGAAACTACTGGGCCGATCGTCAAAATTTAAACGGCGTCTTATAGCGCTGGAAAAACTGCCGAGCAAAGCTTAATTTCATCGACCTCGAGGTCATCGATGACGTCACAGGTAAGGTCAAAGTAAAACTCATAAGCATTTTGGCTTGTTTACAATTTAGGCTCTGGCTGCTTGCTCGCAAGTCCGATCAAGATCATTTGTGGCTTACGCAGTGCACTCCTTGATATATGCCTTAGATACAAGTGAGGGCACCAAACTTGTACTTCGAGTTTTTCAGGTCAACCGTCAAGGCCAGGCCATATTAGGTCACGGAAATTTTATATCATGACACATATTTACGTGACACATATTTTATGGTATATGTCAGCTATCCTTTTCGAAAACATTGTCTCCTGTGTCATTTAAGACCATTTTCAGCTGAATGTAGCTGAAGTCAGGTCTTTTTCACGTTAAAAAGGTCAAGTATGAAGAAGAAATTTTCGAACATTCCAAAATTTTGAAGATCCGGGATCACAGGTCGATGGTCTTTGTCTTTTCATGCATTTACAGGGTGGGGCAGAAAGATTT